AACAGCCTCTGAAAATAAGATGTTTGCTGTAAATGTCACAGCAGCCACTCAAAAACCAACAGTTATATGTGTCCAGGACACCGTGGCTGTATTTGTTACGCACCAAATAAAGCAAAGCAAACATTAAACACAGCCTTAGTCAATTCACAAAGATACACTGTTGTAACAGCCAGAATTTCCAGGTCAGTGCAACCAACAGTAAAGGAGAATCAGCTAGATTGTTTATCAGTGCTGGGAGTACCAAATTACTGCTATTTAAGAAAAAGAGGTTCAAAAATATAAATCGTCTGTGTCTTAACATTAAGACGACTGTGTTAATGTCTGATACCTGCACAGGTATCTGCAGGTGGTTTGAAACATGAGCTGCCTCTGAAGTAGCCTTATTTTGGTCAGTGTACTTTTGCATTAGCCAGAGAATACATGTAAAGATGAGCTCAACCTATTAATATTCAACCTGTTCAGTGGTCCTAAACAGCTTCAGGCAGAGGAGTTAACTGTTACCTCAATGGTAACAGTTAATGCATACATGATTAAAATACACAAATGACACTAAAACCAGGTACACAACTACAAACATAATTATTAGCTAATGCTATGCCTAAAACAGTTTGCTAAAAGCACAGGATGTATTTTAACTTCTTAAAGTCCATGCTTCTTAGCTAATAGTGTTATTTATGAGTTGAAATTACAAACTAAATATAGTGGATAAACAGCTTTGTTACCTGAAATGATAAATAAAACCTTTAAATTATTTTACTAAACATGGATTGTGGTTCTGGACATCTGACATCCTTTGAATAAATCCAGGTCCTGAGATACAAAATGCTCAAATTTGTTTGCCAGCTAGTTGCTAACTGTGTCTGATTCTAAGTGGATTAGTGCTGAGCATACAGCAGATTTTTGTTTTATAGATTTTTGAGTCAATAAAGAGGCCTGTTGCAAGCATGTAACAACACTACAACAGCACTCAGACAATAAAGTTGTGACAGTTCAATGATGAGCCGTAACTCACTGTAAATCCTCGTAAAGATAAGCGGAGCTGCTGACACCACTATGCAACTATTTTCACACCATCATTAAATATGTTCACCTTTTCCTTGGTGAAACCTGTCCAGTTTAATTAAACCATTTTTTATATAATACGTGACGTGGAGGATTTTGCAGGGGTGTTTGGTTGAATACAAGATGCCAAAACTGTATTAAAAATCTTCAACAGCAGTCTTAGGTGGATTTCCCCTGTGGCCTGTGTTATATCACCACAACATCAATTGGCTGTCAGTAATCCTGTTTGCTGCATGTCCCTACTGTCTGGTCCAGGTTTACCAGTATATCACCAGTAACATTAGTCAAATGTGTCCAAGCTGCGATTCTCAGTGTGTCCATGTTCACCTGTGGGTTGTATGTAAATAACCTAGAAAAAAATCACTCTCTGTCTCTTTAAGCTGCACTTCTCCATCAGCATCCATGCATTTTGATGTGTATCTGTCTACATCTCTTTAGGATTGTTTTGGCTGATCCCTGACAACAGTGTTACTAAGATGTTAAATCTGAAGAGCAAACAGAGAGAGATCCATGGAGGGAGGAGAAAAATAGACGAAACGGAATAAAAACAGCCACGCTGTGAGCTGATTCCAGCCAGATCATCAAACGACACCTTTTCTCCGTCTCGTTCTCGGGCAGACGCTCGTGGAGCAAAGAGTGTTGGACTGACGCCAAGCGAGAATAAAGAGAAACAAACCAGACAAAGTGAAACAGGGCCAAACATACTGAGAGGCTGAGAGCAGCTAACATAGAGCTAAAAGAACCAGTGAATAAAAAAGAGAGACTGACTGGTGAAGCAGAGAGGAAGAGAGATGTAAAGAGTCTATGTCATGTCCAACAAGGCCTGAATACATATTTTATATATCCAAAGGCTGGGCATTAAAGATTAACCCAGTCATCCTGTCTCTACATGATCTCACCTAATGATGGCAAAGTGCTCTTCTCTCAGCCCCGCTCAAAGACAGAGATGCATACACACTCTGCAAATAGAACCTCAGTGTGGAGCGAAGTCAGTTTGGCACAAGCAAAGTGCACTTTGACATGTGAGCTCGAGTGTGTGTGTCCATCCACTACCATGGTTAACCTCCTTACAGCCAGTCCAGTCCAAATTCTGGCCAAATAAACAAAACAAAACAAAACAAAAAAAACCATTAAGACACAGATGTTTTATTGTGTCTGTCTATTATTCATTTACAAAGCTAATTACATTTTGGGAAATGAACTTGGAACACAGGGATTAATGCCCAATTGAAAAGTTGTGTGGAAACACGTAGTTTTCAGGGTTTTCCCCCCAAATCTTCTATTTTAATTTGAGTATTTGAGTACTGTAGTTTTCGAATGTTTGAATGTTTTTGCCTAGTCAGCATGAACATTTTTAAGTGTCTACACAAGGAACAAGTAGCAGCAATGTGGAGACCAACAACTAAAGAAAGTTAATGACACTCACCCATCCTCGCCTTTTTGTGACAAGAGGCGAAATAAGCAATGGCGGCATAAAATGCGTGGGTCCAGACTCAAA